CTCACTGCAGCCTTGACTTCCCAGATTCAAGTGATCCTCCCGCCTCAGTCTCCCAAGTAGCTGGGACTATAGGCACACACCAACATACCTGGCTAATTTTTGTATTTTTACAACTAGTCAGGGTTTTACCACATTGCCCAGGCTGGTCTCAATCTCCCGGGCTTAAGAGATCCACCTGCCTCAGCCCCCAAAATGCTGGCATTACAGGCATGTGCCACCAAGCCCAGGGGGTTTACAGTTTTTCTCAGCATTTGAAAGATGTTTCATTGTACTGTTTCTGTTAAGAAGTCAGCAGTCATTTTTATTTTTATCTTTGCTCCTCTGCATGTAACAAATCTTTTTTCGTTTTTTTTTTTTTTTTTTTTTTTTTTGAGACGAAGAGCTGGAGTGCAATAGTGCAATCTTGGCTCACTGCAACCACCTCCGCCTCCCGGGTTCAAGCGATTCTCCTGCTTCAGCCTCCAGAGTAGCTGGGACTACAGGCACATGCCACTATGCCCAACTGATTCTTGTATTTTTAGTAGAAACGAGGTTTCACTAGGTTGGCCAAGCTGGTCTTGAACTCCTGACCTCAGGTGGTCCGCCCGCCTCAGCCTCCCAAAATGCTAGGATTACAGGCGTGAGCCACAGTACCCAGCCTCTTCTGGAATGTTTAAGATGTTATTTATTTCTTGTTTCCAGCAACTTGATTATGATACAGCATGGTATGGTTTTGGGTTTAGTAGATTTATGAGTTTTTGGGATCTCTAAATTATTTCTCATCAACTTTAGAAATTTTGTGATTATCTTTTTGTATCTCTACTGTTTCTCTTCTCTCCTTCCTCCTGTAACTCCAATTACACATACAGTAGACTAGTTGATAATGGCCCACAGATCACTGAAGAATTTTTATTCTGGCTTTTTCCCACCCTGTCTGTTTAAGCCTAGATAATTTCTCTTACTGTATCTTCTAATTCAATATTCTTTTCTTATGAAGTGTCTAATCTTTGATGAGGCCTATCCAGTAAAATATTCATTGCTAAGATTGTATTTTTTCGGTTTCACTTGGTTTTTCATAGCTTAAATTTCTCTCATTATGTTTATGTTTCCTTTTAAGTCCCTGCACATACTACTTTTTTTATGTTTTTGAGAGTGATGGGGTCTTACTTTGTTGCCCAGGCTCAGACTGATCACAAATTCCTGGCCTCAAGCGTTCCTCTCAGCCCACCCTACAATCACTTTTTTCATTTTTGTTTTTTGACCATTCATATCATCATGATATAACCACTCCTTTAAGTCCTTGTTTATTAATTTAAATATCTGTATTATTCTGGG